AATTCAACATGTTAGCATTGTTTAAGTATATAGCCTATATATCCTTAAATTTGGATAGAAGCAGACCAGTGCAGACGTTCGCTTCGCCCGTCTAAATCGCGGTAAAAAATAATTAACTCTGACGTTCCGAGGAGCATTATGATACGCGCATAGCCGGAAGGCTTAAGTCGTCTTGCACTCACAGGAAGTCTCCAGAGTGCCAAGAGGGAACGAGCCCATGGATTACCCGAGGAAGTGTGAAGAGGCTTTTAACGCGGGATAATTTATTTAAAAGCCGAGGCCCAACCCCTCGAAAAAGGGAATCTCTGATGAAACAGCCTTAATTAGCGCGCAGTTTCTTACTGACGAAATCGCCTTTCTTTTTCTTCGTTGAAGGAAAACCACGATGCCCGTGTTTTCCCCTTATATTTTTTCTCACTCCCCCTCTTCCATACTTAATCATTTTCTTCGTGCTCCTTCTTTCCTATTCCGTCATTTTTTCTTCTATCTTTCAGCGAATAGTCCCCCGGGAATTTTATAGCGATCCAGTTTGCGCGATGCAATTGTGTTTGCGGCTCGTTAGAACCAGGATAATGGGTCGAGTGTCTAATGAGGTTTGCTCGGCTGACTCGGCTTTAACGAAAGGGAGAATATCAAGTTATTTGTTTATGAATATAGCTGGCAAATATGTTAATGACGCTATCGAGTGGCGGCTCGGAAACAAGGTCGATCGATCAGCCAATGAATGTTAAATAATTGGGGCCAACTTAATGCGTGTAACCTGATTAAGAGAAGCGAAGAGCACGAACGCGAGTGATGCGAGCCAAACGAGCAACGATCGTTCCAAGGGGCAACGAATCGCCTCGGATTGTTCACTGCACGGTATTGCATGCTATCGTCTCGATTCGTGAACTAGTGTATAAAACGAGAATCATTGCTCAATGCGGTTTAACTTATATACCGAAGATAAGTATTAGGACAGATGTGTTTGACAAACGAATCGTCATTCCGTAACTATTACAGATGCAATAATTAGTATATGCATTATTGTAGCGCTTGAGATAATGACTCCTCGTCAGAGGAAATTAACATAAACTGTATGTACAAAAAAGATTCTATGCAATTTAGGTAGGATCGGTCGAATTTTGTCAGTGCCAATAAAATGCCGATTAATGATAGTTAATTCATTAAATACTGGAGTTAAAAGAAAAATATATAGAACAATTCTTGTATGTAACAATTGTTATATGAAAAATGCATTTAATTAAAAAATTTACTTTGTCCATAATTTCATAACAAACAACCACAAATACGAGAAAGCTTTCTTATTAAAGTGCTATAATAAATATTCTACTTTCTATTCTCGTGAAGAAAAGTTAGAACATTTACTACATTCATTTTATTCTGATTTGTTATTCAATCAAAATTTGTTATTAATAAATTTTGTATTTGTTTTCACTTTCACAAAATGGGGTTTGAACTGATAGAAGCGGCGAAGCTTCATCTTTAAATTATCGTTTGATTCATCTCGATTCGATCACCAGTTCCAGAGGCGTCTTCGTCTAAAAAGAATCGTAATTTTTCCGAGCCGCTATCTGCGTCCTTCCTCAGAGGCTCAGACCTCTCTCTCGCGCTTCCACCGAGTTACTAACCTGCCTTAACCCTCGGCAACCGGTCTAGACTAGACACATGCTACGCGATTCCAGGAAGGGAAGTAGGGCGGGAGAGCCCGGCAAAAAAGTGGGTCAGTCGTGCGCGAGGATCCCGAGCGGTGCGCTTAAACCGCGTAACTTTGAGAACTCATATCTCTGGAACGGATCGAGATATCTGGAGTAACCAAAAACCATTCTTCTCAAAGTGACCTCCTCTATTAATTGAGGGCAGTTTCAAAAATTTAATGTACTTCTACCGAGCAATTTTCGTTCTCTAATGTACATAATTCATCTTTTAAAATTAAATAAAAGTAAAAATGATAAAATTTTCTAATTTCATTGAACAAACTTAGGATTATAATAATAATGTTTAATTCGAAATTAAATCAAGATTATTTTTACTTTTTACGTTGATATTGGGATATTGCAATTGATTACCGGGTAACGATGGTAAAGTGAAAATGATTTTTGACGCAGCGACGAGGTGGCCGGGTTTTTCGAAAGCGCGCAACATTCTGCAGCGAGTAAAAGCAATTTGCATCGAAGGCAGGGTACCGTAATTAAGTTTCAGCAATTGCGTTCTCCCCAAGCGATCCTATTTAATTCGCATTCGACGAAATTCTGGGACATTAACCCGCTTCGTCAAGGGAGACGTTCCCACAGATCTTTTTTCTTCATACGAAGATGATCAATCAAAAAACGACTAAATAAATAACAAATAAAAATACTTTTTATTAATAACTTGACGTGGGTTCAAAAATTGCTAACGTATTACAAAATTCTACGCTCTCTCTGAATAAATATTCGTATATGAAATGAAATTTATTTATTATATCATCGTTTATAATGGATTCGCATCCGGTCGACCACGAATGACGGAAAACCATTCGTCGGTGTTTATTGAAGTATTCCGCGAGGAAAAGCGAGATAACTTGTAACGTGACTCGTAACGAACCGGATCGACCGTTTTCAATGGGAATTCACTTTGAATGTCGTCGCGGCGTTACAACTTTTTCCCACGTACACCGGTCCCTTTACGCGGGACGTCGCCGCCGCCGGTGCATCGGGTCCGCTACGTTTCCCCCGCGAATTACCTCGTGAGAAATTCAACCCTCGTACACAGCCATTTCGCAAATTCGATCTCTCCCTCCGACCGCCTTCGTGAGGCGCGCAAAGGCGAAAAACGAAGACGAAACGAAGAAGTCAATGCCGTTACCCGACGATTCGTTCACGCAATTCCCGGTGTATAAAAGTTCTTTCGAATCGACGCGGCGCACGCTCGACTACCCGCGAATTTCTCAAAGACGTGCAGCTCCGACCGAAAATTCCAATTTACGATTTAACCTAAGCCAATAGCCACTTCTTTATATCGCCTACTATAATGCCTTTGAAAAATTCATAATTTTTATGTACAATTTAGCAAATTAATTAGAATGTTCAAGCTGATTCATCAATATTGTTAACACTAAACCTGTCATGCACTAAGTTGTAATTATTATATAAGCTAGGAACTGAAATACCAATGCTAAATTGCACTTTATATAATAATAAATAATATAGGTGTACTATAACCGATGTAGAAAAATTGTCGATAGATTTAGTGTTAATTTTTCCTGCAGATCGTCGTTGATCCGACACAACACGTGCCACTGTCGCTTTCCACTTTCCTCGTATGTACATATTACAGTCCTGCCACCGCGAGGCTCCTCTTCCATGGGATCGGATAAAATCCACTGAATGGGAGGTGACGTCCGCCGCGCGAGAACTTCTTCCAGCGAGGACATTCATTTCCCGGCCGTGTCCTCGCGGCTGCTCCCGAATCAGCCGGGTCAGCTCCGCGTCCAAAGACAAAGGGGAAGCGCAAGCTCTTCCCTAACTCCCGCCGGAATCGCACACTCGCACACACTCGTTCCCTTTACAACGGTTGCTCTGTCGCGGTTTTGATAACGTCGAAACGTACAGGGGATTTTCTTCCCTCGTTCGAAACGGATTTAATGGGATCCGGATGGAACGAAATTAGCCGCGTTACCACTCACGACGTAAATGAAATTTCACTTGGAACGGAACTACGATGGTCGCGCGAGAGTTAATATTTAAACGGGCGCGAGTGAAAATTATACGTACACACGCGCCAGGCGAGACAATTGAACAATTTTCTGCATACAATTTTATTCTGAAACCACGAAATTCAAATATATAAAATGCTATTCGAATTTATACAATGTAATCGGCCACGTTTAAAATTAGATAACCGGGAAAAGAATGTAAACAATGATACGCGTCCGTTCGAATGCGAATACCGAATTTACAAGCTGCGTGTTGTCTGCGTGCGAAGATCTGCAGCTCGCCGCTTACCGCGAATAAAATCGTTATCAGGTCGTCCCGCGAAATTACGTATCTACTTTTTGGTCCTCGCCGTCATTGTTCTCAAAGGTCCTTCGGACCTCGTTTTCTATCCGTTTTCCTATTCCCATCCGTGCTCATCTCGCCGGCGTTTCGCCGAGCCGAATGATTACGAATGACAAGAAAAAACATACTAAATTATCTCTAATTCACTTTTCCGCGAAAGCTCGAAATTTATCTACTAATACTTTAAAGCTCTATTTCCCTCAGCCCCAATCCCATAATTTTCTTTACATAAAATTTAATCGTCTCGCAAGTCGAGTAAAAATTTACCCAGAAACGAATGTAACTATTGAATCGTTTTCCTAAACGACTGTCCGCGAGAGTGCCTCACGAGAATTCAGTTTTAAAAAAAAGATGCTACAATAAAAACAAAAAAAAAAAAGTAAATGAATTGTTCTACTAATTGCGCGACCGTCGCTTCAGAGACGAGTGGAGCCTTCGGGCGGAGGAGTCCCGTGCGTCGGGCATCAGCCGCGGTCCATAGAGGCGAAATTCCCACTCTATCCGGCGAGGAAAGCAGGGAGGTCGAGCACGGAGATCCACGGTGAACCGGGGCGATCCGTTGATCAATCCAGATCCGGTAGGCCGCCGGTGGTGCCAAAACTGTCCCTGGGATCCTTCTGGTTCCGCTCGAAGTGATCGTGCGACGACGTCGACGGCAGCGACGGCGGCGGCGGCTGCGGCGACGCGGCGTCTTTCAAACGGTTCTCGAAATTCAAAAAGTCCGAACCGCACGGGCTACAGGCCTGCATAGATTAGGTAAAGAATCTCTATTTCAGATCTCCCCACAAAGTAACCGTTCTCGATTGACTTTACTTGAAGCAGGAAGGTGTCCGAGCTGCTGTTCTGCCTGTCCAGTCTCGGCGACGAGATCACTGTTACCTCTGTGCTGTTGCAAAGTCCCGCATCGTCCATCATCTTCAAAATATCCGACCGTAAATAAGTCTACACTACTATTTATCCTTCGCTGATCTTTATTACGATTATTCATTTTTCAAGTAGAATAATATTAGACAAACATGTACACACACTCACACACACACATATATATATATATGTATCTGTATACACAGACATACATATTATATGTATAATGAATATGTAAATATATCCATATATACATGCTTCTTCAATGTTATTTTATTTCATTTACATATTGATTGTACATACGTATATATGTCATTTTTAAATAGAATACAGAACGAAACTAGAAAAACGATAAAGCTCATGGACGATTGTACATTCCCCGCGGTATTTCTAATATTCATTCAACGAGCAAGCGTCTAATATTCATTTACTAAACTCGCGTAGCGACTTTCGAAATTACGCCAGCGTAATCGCGAATGGAATCTCTTACCAGCTTGGTCTTTTCCTCGATGACTTCGACCACGTTTCCCTCCTCGGTGCTGGTAATAATGCCAGTTCCCAACTTCTTGCCAAGAATCTTCACCTCCTTCCGACATCCGCTGCCGGCGGAGGAACCCGAGCTCATCGTCCCGCCGACGGTGTCGCAGCCGTTCGTGTTCGAGGCGGTGCTCTTCAAAAACTGCTCGTACGGGCTGAGCAGCTTCACGTCCTGATACTGCGACGTCATGATTTCTTGGCTACGGTTCTTCGGGCCCAGGATCTTCACCTCGTTCAGCCCGGAGAATAATTTCGACTGCAGGTAATTCGGTTTGCTGCCGAGAACCTGCGAAACCATCCAGTAAATCTTAAAATAACACATTAGAAATAATCTTACGGAAATTATACGCATATCAATTTTATCTACAAGTTATTTAATGAAATACATATGTACATATATATTCATTATTTTACATGTTAAGTTGGTCTTATGTTTAAGTGAACATTATCAGATCTTACCTTAGTGCTAACGCTCTCCGTTCCAAGAATCTTTATATCCGATTGGTTAATAGGTATCAAGCTAGTGTCCGTTTCGGCGTCGTCGAAAACTGAAGGCAATTTCATCTTGGACTCGTACACGGAATCGTGATCGTCCATAGAAGAATTCCCCAGAATATTTAAATCCTCAGTTAAACTAGTGTTACTCTTCAGGTAGGGGAGTGTATCATTTAAAATCGAAAGGGACGTATGATTTTTCATTAACAACGAGGGCATAGACGACTGAGAAGTAGTCGTCAGAGTCGACATGTCGCTCCGATGACTAAGGATGTTAGTCAGTTCCTGTTGACTCGATGGCACTGCTATAGCTATATATTAAAAACAATATATTTTTATCTCTTTCTTTCTTGATTGTTATATTTTTTATATGTTTTATTTTTTAATTCATATTTGTTTCATGTATTATTAATATTTTAAATTCACTTATTTTGTTTTCCTTTGCATATCCTAAAGTGCCTATGCTCGTTAATAATGTAATAACAATAATAATAATTGCAATTTTTTAATGCAAAATAAATAATAATGTGAAATTTATCATGCAAAGATAATAAGTGTATATCAATGAAGAATTGAATGGAAATAACGCTCACCCTCGTCATCGTGTTCGACAGCCACGCTACCGTCAATCGTCAATGGCTTCGGGCCCAGCATCAGGTCATCGATTTTTGATTGTGAGAGGAAGCTCATGCTGTCCACAAAGCGGTCGTCGAGGCTCTTGTTGAGGACGTGGATGTCCTTGTCTTCTAGAATCTCGATCCCGTCCATCGACATGGATTTCTGCGCGGTTCCGGGGTCGACCATCATGACCTGATTATTGGATTCCCCGATGATGACTTCGCCCCCATTACCGCGCATATTCACCATGTTAATCGTCTGCGCTTCCTCGTCCTCGAGGATCGTCATGTCGTGCGAGTTCTGCGCCATCAGATCCCGCGCCTCGGTGCTGGTCATCACCTGCGATCGTCACGCAAACATCAATAACTCACTTCCATATTTGTGAATTATATTCTCATATTAAATACAAATATTATGAATTATATTCTCAAATTAAATACAGCAGAATGAATTCAATTACACCTCCATTCAAAAATTTGCAGCAATTACTTTTTCGATGAAACAAATATTTTACACATATACACTTAGTGTTTTGAAAATGTTACACTTGTATATTAACATTACACTGTATTAGAGTAAAGGAGAATAGAAGAAGATAGCAGGAACAGCAGCATAGAAAGATCTAAATATGCAGATACAAGAGCAATACGAAAGGACGAGAGACAACAGATGTAATCTAATATACAAAACAATTAGTGAAGATGAGAGGTCGGAATACTTAACACGTTAAGCGCCAAGTCTGTGTTCTCCTCCTGGTAGAAGGTTGACAAAACAAGTTATAATATATTCTGTGGAACTTGTACAGGACAACCATTACTGTGTTTCAAAAATAATGCATAAGATTTTTTTGAAATGGAGAAAGCCGACACACATAAGTGCATGAAATTTCCTGTTTTTATCTCATTTATAATTGAACCTTCGATACGATTGTTAATCGTCTGACCAAAACGATGGAAATCTACTTCGAATAGAAAATGAATTGGTTCGAGTGATTTTATTACCTCGTAACGGCCGTCCTCGGTGGCTCGGACGAACTGTATCCCACCCTGTGCAGCGAGTTCCAGCAGCTCGTTACAGTCCTCCATCACAGAGTTCTCGGCAGCACCGTTCTGGCGATCGAGCTCGTTCCGGATCGCCTCGGCGTACGTGAACTGGGAATCCAACGCGGTCACCAGGCTCTCTGTCGAGCCAAATAAAAACGTTGAAATGCGACACATTGAAAAATCATCGCCGTTTTAACGAGTCAATTATAGGACATGAACAGAGGAAAGAAGACATTAGAAAGTTAGTTGCTTCGACAGCGAACGAAATCGATGTCCCAAATTTTTTACTGATATCTATCGAACCTGTGCAATTGCTGAGAATATCTGTAGAAATGGACGTATGTACGTATGTATGAAAGTAATATTTATTAATCCATTTGCATGATACGGAGGTATGAAAATTAAGGCCCTTATCACCTTATCATTTTTACTATACTGATTTTTCCAACAATAGTCATGTCGTCACTTGAATTTAATTCAACGTCCTCCAGTTTTATTTTCTAGTTAGCGTAAAATAACATGTCACACCTAAAGGGAATTCTCTCGTCATAATAAATAATAAAATATACTCTAATTATTGCAAATGGGTTAACACTTCTGAGCATGTCCACTTCAGACTACGAGGCCTGAATACCACGAGACCATCGTCAAAATAAAATTGCCTTTCCTCGAAACAGTTTATTGAAGAGTGATAATAAATAAATAACTTAAGACTCTTGCACACCGTGTTCGTTCTCGGGGCCGGGCGGGTCAACGCTAAAACTGATCTTCCCGTCAGCGTCTATGTTCTGAGTCACGCTCGCCACCACAGGTACCTTCACTTGGATAGACTTCATCCTGTCAACGTCGGTCGAGATCGTAGGACTCAGGCTCACCTTCCCTGCTAATCGGAGATCTTCCGGTGTCGCGGGTGTCAAAATCTAGATACATAATAAAAATTGAAATTGTATTAATAAAAAATAGATCTGACATATTGTGAAGAACTTACGTGTTTATGAGTACTGGTTGGAGTGATCTTGACGAGGATCGGCATTCCCTTGGCAGGCTTGAAAAGCGCGAACGGCGTGTGCCCTTCCAGCAGGGCCATCTCCATTGCCTTCGTATCGATCTTGTCTATTATTATTGAATCCACCACGTCTGACTGTTTCAACACGTAATTCATTTTATTATAAGTAAATATCCCAGTTTCTGTTTACCTCACGACAGTTTCTACTCGTTTTTTTCTGAAGTTTTAAACCAGTGAGTACAAACTATAACGTGAATAGAAATTGGGACATTTACTATAGATTTAATTGCCTGATAGAAAAAAAACCTTGATATTGCAAACAAAACCTCGTTTCTTACCTCGGTATTCCTGTCGCCGTTCGGCAGCTGCACGATCCTGACGTTCTTACTGAAAATTCAACGTTAATTATCGAAAAAAGCTCGTGAATTTGTTTGATTTAATGTAAGGAACTTTGTAACAAAAATCGATAGATCGTCGGACATTGAATATTGAAAACGTGACTTTTTTAACAGCGAGGTAAGGAGTTTTAAGTTCTCCCGGTGGGAAGATCAATATTCAGACGGCGTTCGTCGGCGAACGAGAGACAGACGCAAATTAAGCTGAACGCATTTCGGATTCGCACGCTGCGAGACGTCTACCTACTTTCTTATGACGTTCGGATCGTTGATGGTCGAGAGGGTCTGCAACCCGGTCGGGTGTCGATACTTTATGCCGTGCTTGTACTCCTCGTGCGATCTCAAAGCGGACCGGCGCGGGAACTCTTTGCCGCAGATTCTGCACACGTGCTGCATTTTCTCCGCGTGTGCATGCGCTTTGACCTTGTGGCAGACCAAATTCGACATCTGATTGAACCCTTTGCCGCAGAGCTCGCATTTGTACGGCCTCTCGTTCGTATGGGTAAACACGTGGTTCCTCAAATTGCCTGACAACGGAATTGCTATTTAAACGTTGCCCCGCATACCGTTCGGCTTTGTACAAGCCGTTTCACAATCTTCCCGCTCCGGACAAATGTTCAATCGAGATTTAATCGCAACTTACTACGTCGCAAAAAGCGACTGTTTTTCGTATCGAACTGAACGCAACGATATATGTTTCAGTGAGTCGTTGAATTTATTGAATAATTACCTTTTTGATGAAATCCTTTCCCACAGACTTGGCACTTGTGCGGCTTGTGTTCCGAATGAGTCTTCCGGTGAGAGATCAACGTGGATACCCTAAAAATAATAACGAAAAGAAATACAGGGTGTTTCAATATGGATGGTAAAACCGTGGAAAGGGGTGATTGTACATGATAAAATAACATGGGATAAATCTTGTATATTTTTGAAGCTTTGGTCTCGAGAAAATCGACTTTGAATTTCCTCCAAGTGCGTATGCACTCGACTGACAAACGGAACTGAAAGTCGATTTTCTCGAAAGCAAAGCCTCAAATGACGAAAATGTGTCGCATTCTTTTTATTCATTTTATTATCCCCTCCACGGTCGTACCAACAATACTGAAACAGTCTGTATAGGACAGGAGAAATGGGGCTAGTAGACTAGTGCAAAATGTACGTCTAATTCTATAATCGTTTCAACATTACAATTTCATTCGACTCGTCCACAAAGAGCTTTTAGTTAATGCGTCGCTCTAATTCGTTAAAGACGCCTCATTTGGAAAAAAGCGGCGAGATTAATTTATAAAGAAGAACGGGATATTGCGCTCGTTAAAATTTCCTCTCGTATACAATTCCAATTTCATCGCGATTCAAAACGCTAATGATCTCCCTCGCTGTAGTCATGAAAAATTATCCGAATAAAGAGTCCAATGAACAAAAACTTTTTAAATGATTTTTACAGAGCTTCTCATATAAAATAAAATTATGAAAAATGGTAAATGCAAACAAAATGAATATAACAAAAAAAAGAGGTGGTGATTATTAGAGAACAGCGATACCTGTTGAAAGTTTTCTTGCAGAACTCGCAGACGTACGGCCTGGCGTCGCTGTGTATCGCCTTGTGTTGGCTCAGAGTCGACAACTGCCGGAAAGCTTTGCCGCAAGCCTCGCACTTAAAGTTACGCTCGTCAGTGTGCGTCGGCAAATGTCTCATCAACGTGTACTGATGACGGAACTCCTTCGAACCTGATCGTGAATGGAACGTCAACCTCGCGGCAATTCCTTCGACTTATTATTTAGCAAAACAAATCTAAGGTACCGCGAACGATTCGAAAAATAGTCACTGACAATCAGACGTAATTTCGTCCATTTACTTAAGTTCTGATTAACTGAAGAATCACTTACAAATCCCGCATTCCCAGATCTTTAGCGTTTTCCCGTCGCGTTTCAAATACTTGACGAAGTGTAGCTTCGACCGCGGGTCGTCTTTGTCGATCAAACGATTCGAGGAAGAGGAGGGTGCCTCGATCGGCCGCGCGAACGTCACAGCGTCGTCGTTAGGCGAATTGACGTGCTGCTCCAGCATCTGCAAAAAAAAAAAACACCGGATTCTTTTTTTAGAGATTTATTTTATAAGATTTTAATTTGATTTTTATACCTTGTACTTAAAAGCATCTTTTCCAAGGAATTTAGCCACGGTACCGTCAACGTTAATTACTTCGGAATCTATCGCGACGTCTAGGTTCATGCAATCACCCTTGAAACGAATTAAACTTTTTTTTATACGAGACACTCTGTCACGACGCGAATAATTACGCCAAGAAAAGGGCGGGAGCGGTCATTCATTAGTTGTCGGCAATTACCTGCATTAATTGATGATCGGTCAAAGCTGGTAGGATGGTGACATCGTTTCTACAATCGGAATTCATGTTCTCTTCTTTCACGTAAACTTCATAAACACTGTAAACGTAAAATCGTTGATAAGATTTATCTTGAACGCCATTGACTTCTCAAATTCTTTTGGTAATTCTGTTTCACAAGCTTACCTGATCACTTCATCCGGGATCGGACGATTAAATTGCGGATCCTCATACTGGGTCTCCCCTAAAAAGTATCAAGCTAAAATATCGTTTCTTCTAAAACAATTCTCAGCAAAATAAAAATCTTTCAGTATTTTTATATAAATTTAACGTAACAAACAGAAAATAAATACAACAAGAAGTTTTATAAATAAAGTTAGTAAAATTAAAATAATTATTGATTCTACACCCTTTCGCTAATGAAATAAATACTTCAAGAACTCAGTAGAAATGCAAACATGGCTTTGAGTAAAAGCAGAGACATGATTTGCCTTAATTTCATAGGAGAAATTGATTGCAAATGACCTTTTGCCTAATTCATCTGAATCCATTAAATTCCAATTAAATTCCATGAAATCTTCAATTATAAATTTTGATTTACACATCATTTTTTATGATCAGATGCTTAGACGAAATCATGCTTAGCTGAATAGAAATTAAGACGTTTATCTTAATCGTTAAAAATCAATTTCATTTAAAAGACAGCGAATCTAAAATAATTTTCTATCAATCATTCTTTTAATAATATGAAAAGTGATATAATGGATGAATGTTACATTGCAATCGCAATTATTTTACTAATCAATTGCAAATTACTTGAAAAAATCCTGCTTTTAAATAATTGCGCTCCCTTTGGAAACCGGTAAACCGGAAGATTCGCAATAAGGAAAATTGTTAAGGCGGCTATTTACGAGATGGTATTACTCCTCCGTTGAAACTTTTGAGACCGGGGATTAAGATGGGATAGGGCAAGCGAGTCGTGCATATGTTCTTTGGTACCAAGCTTTTAAAATTCTATCCGAGAAAAGAGCACAGTATCCTTGTACTCTAATACCTCCCGTGACAAAATAATCCCTCCCACTCTTTCTCCCATTTTTTGTTTAATAATCCACCGACTGCTGTTGCCTCGCCGTGTCCCGTGTGCGCTTTGCGAAATTCGATCGTGTTCAAGTAAAAGAATTCGTAATATCCACCAATGAATAAATTATGTTACTTGTGTCGCGTTAACCGAAATCTCATTTTTTAATGCCATTTACATAACATAATATTTTAAATGTTTATGTGTCTACATTTAGATAGATCACCCTATATAAAATGTATTTTACGTTTGATCAATTTCACTACGGAATTGCATGTTACGAGACACAATGTTTCTTCGTTGCAATAAGATACTCGCCCCTAGTTTACTCTCGAGTGGGTTAGGCTAAAGCTTGTTGAAGGCTCTCGAGATTATACCTACATAGCACGTGCCAGTGATGCTACTCTTTGTGTAGCACACGATTTCTCATGAATTCCCGATGGGTCACACTGTTTTTGACTATTTTAAATTAGGGACGAATGAGTTGAGCGACACTGGTTTAGACGGTCTCTGGACACAATGTTACATCATAGCACTTATTCGTGACATGTGCATGAGTCAGAAACACACAATGTACGACTGCAGAGATAATCTAAACCAGTCAAATTTTTTCTATCTAGGTTGCAATATATACAAATATATAAAAATCTATAGTTTATCAGCTTGAAACGGAATACAATTGTTAGGAACCTGTAAAATTAAACTAAGTTCTTTGCAAATGTTATTAGATGTACGCAGACGTAGATTTAACGTACCCCGAGTGTACTTAATTAAATTACAGAAGCCCGTTTGAACAAGAATTTAAAATGTCCATTTAAAAAACAAAATTACGTGCATACCTTTAAAAGCACGTAACGTCGAGTAGCATAAAACGATGTGTGTGTATGTACGTACATGTTTAAACTTATCGTCGATGATTGCATCCTTGAGCAGGCGTTGGCGAGGAATCAACCTGGACCCGAGAAGACCGGCGCGTCGTAAAAAACGTGTTCACCACTCTTTTCACAAATGAATGAAAAGCCGGCGGGAGCCGGTCGGCTTTTGAACGCGGACGGGACCATAGATCCCGGGAGATCGCCATTGGGATCGCGCGTACGAGGAAGTTTGTCGTCAGGAATACAGAGTCGACGGATGGAAGACTGTCAAAAATCGGCGAGAGAGAGATTCGCGTCGCGGCCGGCGGAAGTTCCGACATTGCCGAGGGCATCCCTCGCCTTTTTTTTGTCCGGACCGGCTGGTCGGCAAATAAACGAAAGCCGCCATTATCACAATTCATTTTTCACGACAGGCAGTGCGGGACGAACGACGGGATCGGGACCAAGTGAATTTGTTCGTTAAGATTTCGGAGTTCGCGATCCGCCGAGGAAATTAAAGTGGGAACCGTCGAATCGGAGAGGACAGGACCACAAAAAGAGAGAGAGAGAGGAGAGACCGGGAGTGAAACAGGAGGAAAAAAAACGTCGTGGAGAACCGGAGGATCGGACGATTTGAGTTTTACTCACAGTTGTATTCTTGCAGCAGGTTATTCTGGGACATTTCTCAGCACCCGAGCGTGTCACCTTCGATAGCGAGACACTTTCCACACGTGGATGTCTCGCAGCCTGTTTCGCATCGATCGCTAGCGATGAATCGTTTGAGTTTGAGGCGATGTCCCCCGAAATCGGTTCGCCTGACATCGCCGCCAAACGGGCAACTTCGGAAACGACGACCGGCCAATAGCGTAAACCCCCGCATTTATTTTCTCACGCACTCCTTAACCTGGAGCGGCCCCCCTCACGCATATCAAACAGACATAATTAACGATTAACGATTTCTAATATCATCTCATAATTATTCTAACAAACAGGGAACCGGTTTCTTTTATCCATTGTAAGTTTAACAAATTGGACGATTCTTAATAATTGTTTAATAAAAGATACAAACCATGCAACGTATGGACACTTCATTAAATTATTGAAATAGAGCTCATATTTAATCTGATTCGGTGCTGGCATTAATATTCCAAGAACCGGCTAAATTCTGTCCGATCGACGAGCAGAGAGGAGAGTAACCATCTTCCACCGTCGAAGTCGCCGGAATTACCTCTTCCCTCTGGCCGCTCTGTTTTCGAATTCCGGTCAGGTAGATCCACATCGACGTTCTCCAAGTTGCCAGCTCGATCCGCGGCATACTTGCCTGACTCAATTATTACTTGCTACTTCTTGTTACCCGCTGTTTAAGTTACCAGGCGCACCCCCGCCCCGCGATTCCGGCCGGCCCCCGGGTTCAAACCCTATCTCGCCGCTTCTCTGCGCTAACTACCATCGATAGGGCTTGTTCTCCGACCTGATGGATATCGCTCGCAGTAATCGGTATGAACCGGCCTTGAAACGGCGTGGAACACAGATGGTGATGCTGTGAATTTTTCACGTGCCTCGCTTTGTCCGGATGAACTTTGCATCTCGTCTTCGGTGACCGCGGCTCTTTACTTTCCACCTCTCGCGGTTTCCCGTCTGTTTTAAAGTTCGACGGACCGGGAGGCGCGAAAGCGAGAGAAGTGAATTTTGGTTTTTGCGCGGCCAGAGGAAACGCGTGTTCGAGAGTTTCCAAAGTACCGGCGCGGCGCGGTATAAAACGCGAATTCATGATGAATGCCTGTGCTACCAGGACAGACTGTATTAATCTTATTATTATATAAA